GGCAAAAGTCGCCGGGAGTCTGTTTAAACAGCCCCGATGCTGGCGACGTACACTGTACGTCGTCAGTCACGAAGGGGTTAAAAGATCAGCTTATTGGAAAAAAAATCCATTGCCTTGCACTAATAAAAATAATAAAGCAGCTCTCGCAATACACATCCGTATCTAGGGCAATGTGTCCAGGGGTGTGGAATTCCTATCGCCCGCCGCTCGGGACAGGCAGTTTCGGGCACCGGGCGGTGTGTGTTGCGAAAAAAGGTACATGTACCTTTTTTCAGCGATTACCACGCGGATATAACCCCATTGAAATCATGAATTCATGAATGAACAGGCTGTGATATAAATCACAGCCTGTTCATTCATAACTGAGGACACATAGTACTATGGGTGTTATTCACAAAGCTGCCGAAGGATCTAGCCATAGCTTCGGCTGATCCTTCGGCTAGCTTCGGCCCCAGGACCCCTTCGGTTAATCGTGATTTTTAATACATTCTTCTTTGTTTATAACGACGTGAAATAAAAAAATAAAATACAATTGTCACTTTTTTTGGTCAGGTGAATATTAAATACTGCATATTAATATTTTGTGTTTTCATTTTTATGACAACCTGTAAAAAAGCTATTTACACAGAGTTCAATAGCTCAAGATGAAATTTACACACTTAGGTAAATGAGCCAGAGGAGTGACTAACCACTTATCAGATGACTCTTTTTGAGTCTTAAGGTGGACAGCAATTACTGTGCGGTCTCTTTACATAACCCATAGTGCTTTGGAAAAGCCTTTGGTCACGCATAAAGTGTTTAAGTGTATAATTGTATAAAATAAAATTAACCCAAACCCATGATATTTTCTTTTTAGTCTGCCAGACAAATTTAGAGGTCTTGTGTATGGGCAATATTTATTAGTCAAGACACAGTTTGATTTGTATTACCTCCTCCTGCAGCAATTTATTTTCATTGTCCAACACTGCTCTGTCCCTCAGTGCAGATTCCAGGTCTGCTCTCAGACGAGCAATGGTAGAATCTTGCATCTCCTTCTGCACTGTGTTCTTCTGCTTTGCAAGTGCAATATTTCTGTGACATTCTGTGTGTTCAGCCCGTAAAGTCTCACTGGATGAGTTACAAGATGTTATAGATGTTAATTAGGTCATTCTAACTCACCTCAGTGTGCAACGATTGCATTCACAATCGTTTATATAGATTGCCTAATTTTCCACCTTGCCATAAGTATTAGGTGAACATTTGCTGATATTATACAACTAAAGCAATTTCATGTGAACCACTGTAATCAAGTTAAATAGCTCAATGTTGCAGCACAGTTTGCCTCCGTAGTATAGGTTTTGGCCATCATGGGCATTCACTGTATTTGTCGGTTTTGCTATAATACAACTGTCTGCATAAAAACAGGTCATCAGTTAACCTGCTATGCCATCTTAAATAAAGGATTTAAAATCTAACAGAAACATTGAAAATACAGAAAAGCTGGGTGACTCACAGTTCTCTCTCTAACTCTGTTTGATGTCTCTGCAAGGTCTGCAGCTCTTCATTCAGGCTTTTCTGCACTGTATTTAATACAAGCTCTTGTTCCTGCAGCGTTTGTGATGTGGTGTCTTGCACCACCTGTAAGGAATAGTAAACAAAATTCAATACAATAAGCATGTGGTTATAATAACGTAGACCTGGTGTAAGCTTGAGACCATGGCCCATGGTAAATTATAAACATGACAATAAGAAGAATAACTTCAAAAAGGTATGAATATACCTTAAGATCTTGCTGGTGCTGTGTCTTGAGATGGGTGTTCTCATTGGTGAGTCTTCGGACAGTAACAGTAAGCTCTGAGCACTGGCTCTCTAGCTGTTGGTTTAAAGACTGTAATACAAATCAACAACAGATAAAACATATAAGACATAAAAATCAGAAAGATATTGTGTAATATTATAAACATTTTTCAAGAAATTAACCTGCCTAAGAAAAACACTTTTGCATGAAACAAGTACATGACTCCAGCATGTCACAGACAAACTGGATAGTGTATCCTCAGTGCTATCTGCACATTAGAAGAGGGTGCGGGTCCTAAAAAGGGTCAAGGCGCAGAGTCTTCATCACCACCAGAGCTTCATCAGAACAGCAAGTGATGGATTTTCCTGGCGGGTGTACGAGGGTTCAACCCTCAGGCACAACTGTGCAGATGGCAGTTGAACAGGGATGGAATCAGATTGTGATACAAGTCGACCGACAATTTCAGAAATGGGGACAGGACAAACATCAGGACAGGCAGTGAAGAAGCATAGTCAAAATTCAAGACGAAGTCCGTAACAGAGAAAGAAGAATGCAGGAGTGCAATAATTATCACAGACTGGAGCTTCGAGCTAGGAAATAAAACTATTGCTAAGGCAACTGGTGTTGAAATGAGTAATGTTAAATAGTGAGGTTGTCTGGCAAGCTGGGTGGAAACTGGCCATGTAGTTGATATGTTATTCAGCAGGTGGGATACGACAATGCCTATACCTCCCAGTCCTGTACAGCAACAAGGAAAGTGAGTGAGTCCACTTAGTAGTAGAACCCCAAGTGGTAGATAAGCTTTTTTGATGATCTGTGACACATTTCTTTTTTTTACCTGAATTTTTTCGGCTGCTCCATGAAGAGTGACAGTGTCAAGTCGGATTTGAGAAAGTTCAGCCTGTTCTGCTTCTCGCTTCTGTTTCGTAAACTAAAAGTAGAGCAGAGTCTTTCATTAGAAAATGGCACATTATCAAGGCAACAGATCGGCATATCGTTTACACTCATGTATAACGTTATCTGCTAAACTGTTATGGAATACTTTCAATCCTCTTGTGCAAGAAACTAGATTATTATTGCCACCACTGTAAAGTCAAGAACATCCAACCAATTTCCCAAACTACTGATAAAGGGTTTGGTACCTATCCTAAATGCCTTTTAGTAGAACATATAGTGAGGCACATGACATTCTGGAGTGTAGAGTCCCACTCCTAGCAGGCAGGGCACTAAACACTAAAAGGCTTCTTCTTATATATACACAGGGGTGTGAAAATTAAAAAAAAAAACTACTTGTCCAAGGGCTAAAGCGGGGGCCAAATCTACTTGTCCTGATACAAAAAAAATAGGGATGCACCAATACCGTATTTTCACTATCGAGTACCGATATTTTGCTTTCGGATCTCGCCGACACTGAATACTAATACCGGTGCTTCCGCTGACATAGAGCAGGCTTCCCTGGTAATCAGGAAGCTGGGCAGCGGGTAATGACATCCCGCCCGGTTTCCTGATTGCCACGGAAGCCTGCTCCATGTTGTTTGGCCTGCTTGACTGTGATTGGCCAGGAAATCTGCTTCCTGGCCAATCAGGAAGCCGGGAGGCGAGTAATGACCCGATTGACCGGGAAGCTGGTTCGATGCCGATTGGCCAGGCAGCCGGCTTTCCAGCCAATCAGCAAAGAGCCGGCTTCCCGGCCAATCAGGAAAACCAGGAGGCAGTTCAGACGACACTACCAGTTAGAGGTAATTTTCATCTCGATGTAAGTTCCAATATCAGGGAAGGTATCGGAGCATTTGGGTAAGTACGAGTACTCGGCCAAATACTCGATATCGCAATGATACTATTATCGGTGCACCCCTAATCAAAACATATTTGACTGTGCTAAATAGCGCTTCTCACTGGTCAGCGCAGTCATCTGACCACGTTGAGCAATGAGTGCTTTCAATTTGCGAGCGAAATTCAAAATGCATAGGGGAGGACTGCGCTGGGCAGCAGTACAGTGTACAGATAGTACACCCATACTGGCAGAGGGGAGGGATTGTTCGCCGAAAGGTAAGTATAGCCAGGGGGGTGGCGGTTTGGGAGAGACGGGGCCAGATTTCATCGGGGTAATTTTATTTTTCCATATTAACTGGGAAAATGAACTTACCCTTTAATGCACATTGTGTGTGTGTGTGTGTAAGAAAAATCTGCTGCCATGGAATGGCGGCGGCAATCTGAAAGCACATGCAGAATGTCCTACGCATGCGTTTATTTGCATGCAGATGGCGGGGGTAGCAGGATTGGTTTTCATTTTTATTTTTCCACTTAATGTTATTCCTATCACATAGGGGATTAAATTCCACCTGTGATAGTTTGGAGGTGACAGGTTCTCTTTATGGAACCTGCCCTCCAACACAGAACAGGTGTTCTGTGCAGTTCCTGACAGCCGAGACAGGTGGCGCTGTGATTACAGCGCCACGGTCTCAGAGAACACACAGAGAGCCCGTAGAGCAGACGTTCTTCGTCTGCTCTACGGGCTCTATGGCTGAGCCGCTGTGTCGTAGTTTTCGGGGTCCCCCAGGAGAGCGGGGGACCCCGAAAACCACGGCGGGGGGTTTCGGTCAGACATAATCACTGCTGCTCAATTTGATACAAGTGATCTAATTAGATCACTTGTCCTAAATGAGCGGCGGCTCCACAATGTACATTCAGCTCTGCTTGTCCGGAGTAAATGTACATAAAAACTACTTTAGCAGTGATTCCCTTATAACAGGCCCAAGCTGGCAAACCTCAAGTGTCAGGAGTTCTGATAGAACGGATGGAAACATATCTGTACATCTTGGAAAGGGATAAGCTCAAAGGAAACATTATTGTAATAGCTTTAGTGGCCAGGTGACAGACCAGCAAACAGCAAGGCCTGGTTTGATTATAACATTTATTCATTTTTCACATAAAAAAGGAACAGAACAATACAAATATAAACAGAAACATTTTCATTATCCAGGAGATCTTACAATCACTTACAATTTTTAACCCCTTCATGACTGAGGCCTTTTTTTCATTTTTTGCACCCATGTTATATTCCACATTTTAGGCCTGAAAATTACTTAAAACCCCCAAACATTATATATTTTCTGAATGCCAAGACCCTATAGAATAAAATGGTGGTAGTTGCAAATTTTTATTTTGCACAATATTAGCGCAACTAATCATTACATTACCTTCTTAAAAGAATCCCCCCTCTCCTTTCTATTAACAACTCGTTAGCCTCTAGTGAGGGGTGCTATAAGCAGGGCCTGGTTTGAACACAAGTTGCCCAAGCAACTTGCATGCCTCCAAAAACTGTTTTTTGTGCAGCCGCTGGTGTTGTTCTGTAATGTTTTTGAATCTTCTCTCCATGTCCGAGCCACAAGGGCAGTAAGCAGAAAAAAGAGAAGAAAAAAAAAAAGTCACCAGCTGAAGCCCTGCTTCCACAATGGGTCAAGGAATCAACCTTCAGACTGGGCACACGGCAGGTAGTAAAGGCAACCACCCCCCCTTAATCAGTGACGTACAGTCTGGATTGAAAGTGAGGGTGCCTACAACAAACAGAGGTGAGAGAGTACTTGGGTTACCTAGTTGCATTCCAGGTGATGCCGAACATGGCCATGGTTTAAGAACTGGTAATGTACTGGTATTGTAGCCTTTGTTAAAAGAAGTCAAACTAATGCTCACGTACTTTTAGTTCTCAACACCATGTACCTGTGTTTGGATTTTTTGCAGAACAACTCAGAATTCCAGAACAATGGGCTATTCTGATAAAGCAACACCAACCAGCCCCCCCCAATGCCCAACTACTGGCTCATCACTATAATGAGCTGTCTCACATAAAAAAGCAAGACAAGATAGGCATGCTGGAAAGGCCAACTCATGAGAGCTGCTCAAGAATTGCACTTTTCTGGGCTCTGATAGAGCTCTGTTATGTCCCAAAATACAGGGGAAGATATTTTAGTTCAGTAATCTGTCTCCTAGGGTTAAAGCCTTCACCTTTAGCATCCCATCTCAACCTTTATGTTCCAGTTAAACATTGCACAAAAGAGCAAGTAAACTCCAGGACAGCAATGTTGCCATCCAGGAAAATGCTTATATGCACACCAATAAACACCATCAAGCATGTTTTATAAACATGGATTGAGTTAGCAAAAGCATTAATGAAGAAAATAACATACTTCAGCTATATTTTACTAGTTCAAGGGTCAATTTCTTACTTACTTTGACTTCTTCCTGCAACTGGTTTAGAAGGGAATCCCTAGCTTCTAAAATAACAAAAAACATATTAAATCAGTAGCATAACCAATTGCAACACTAATATGTACTTGCACCAAATGCAACAACTAAAACACTATTCTCATCATGCTGGGGAAGCAAAAATTGCCAGCCCTTACGTTATACTATAAAACTTGCACCTTATGGGGTAGCTGTTTCACCTGAGTGTCAGGTGGTTAGATTATTAATATGGATATACCAAAATCTGTAAGATCAAAATGTTCAGTGCTTAAGTTTAAACACCATCAAAATCCTTTTAAGAAAAATACAATTATCTTCTTTATTGTCTAGCTGCAGGCCGGTAAAATTTCTTATGCATATTTTTTACACAACCCGATTGTTCCGTGTAGCCAACAAGACAAGTGAAGTGAGAAGGGGTGGTGAAACCCTCTCTGGTCAGCATCAGTAGCCATGCCAAGGGGTTTTCCTCTTCCTTGTGGAATGTTAAGACCAACTTTGTATAAACAGCATTATCTTAAAAGGAGAACTATGGGGTAAGTGTTTTTCCCCATAGTTCTCCTAAGGGTCATGGGAGGACATATACTAGCGAACTCCCGTGACCCAAAGCTCAGTATAACGCGAGCTACAGCTCGCGGCATACTGAGACCACCACAGCAGGGATGGATCCCGACATTACTGTTGAGACCCACCCAGCTGCGTGAGTGACAGCTGAATCTGCCTATCTAGAGGCAGAGCCAGCTGTACCTGGCTGGCGGATCGGAGCAGGGAATTCCTGCAGGGAGCCGTGAGTGACAGTCCCAGCTCTCTGCAGGGAGATGATCGAGAAGTGAGCGAGCAACGGTATGTGTTCGCTCACTTCCCGATCTATTGAACCGACGTGTGACAGTTTCATTGTCACACGTCGGCTCGAACTATGAGGTTGAGTGAAAATCACTCACCTCATAGTTCTCCTTTAACAAACTGCAAAATCCAATATTCTGAGAAGTGGCTGTAAGGACAATGTATTGGTATCCTAAACATTTACTGTACTGAAATAGGATAGTATCTGAAGCTGCCATGGAGTACTCCTCTGTGGTTCGAAACTGGATCCATGTCGCCCACGTAAGTAAATTTGTCCTGTGTGTCCCTCAGGGATGAGGTCAGGTCTTCCATCGATTCAATCTCCTCCACCCTCCGCAGCCACATTGCAATTGAGGGGGGCTGTGAGCTCTTCCACTGGGCGGGGACACAGACCCTCGCTGCATTAATCAGGTGGATCGCCAAGGAGCGCTTGTATATTTTCCGTGAAAGCGGTGCAAGGTGAAGGAGAAAGACCGACGGCGTAAACGGCAGGTCCAATCCCGTTATCCTCCGTATTAGGTCAGCCCGTTATCCTCCGTATTAGGTCAGCCACCCTGTTTAAGGGTTCCTATAGTATTGCCACATCTCCAACACATGGGTGAAGATGCATGTGGCCCATTTTTTAAGGTTTTTCTACATTCTCATACCCAATTCTGTTTGAAATTGCTTGTTCTCCTTTTCCAGTTTTTTACATCTCGACTTCCCTTGTTCTAGTTTGTCCTTCATTTCCTGTCCTTCTCTCTCTACAGTGTTGCAGTATTGCTGTAGCTTCCGTACCTAAGTTTCACAGATCAGAATGCATGTTAGCAAACATTAATGATAGCTTTAAAATGATAAGCCACAAATACACTGCCCACCTGCGCCTGCTCCTCTTCAACAATGTTTTTCAAACCTTCCACTGTAAGAAGTAGGACCGCCTGCTCCTCTTCAAGCAATGCTTGTAGAGCAGCTTCTTCCAACAGTTTTTCTTGCAGCTGATAGTAATGAACAATCTATATCTCAGTAAGCAGGTAAGATAGTTTAACCACATTTTTATAGTATAATTAATACAATGCACTGACAAACCCCCAAATACACCCTCATTTTCATTAAAAGTATCTTTAAAGGAGAACTATGAGATGAGTGGTTTACACTCATCCTCATAGTTAGAACCGACCTCCGATCCTCCAGCGCTGAGTGGAGGAACAGACTGCGGAGGGGGCAGGCACAGCTATCTCTGCCTCTAGATAGGCAGAGCCTACTGTCAATCACGCAGCTGGGTGGATCTCTCAGTATATCGTTGGCGATAGCCCGCTATATACTTAGCTCTGGGTTACGGGAGGAGGTTAGTATGTGTCCTCCTGTGACCCTATAGAGAACTATGGGGAAAAACACTTACCCCATAGTTCTCTTTTAACGTCCCTGGCAGTATTCCCGAGTGTAGCTCGGGTTTACTTTTCCATACCATAAGCGGTAACCCCGAGCTACACTCGGGAATGCCGCATAGCATTTACTTACCTTGTCCCTCGAGCCGGGCTGTGTTCTGCGGCCGATGACGGCTTCCGGGGTCTGTCCCTTGCGAGCGTACGCGTCGCAGGGGGCGGAACCGGCGGCATATTAAAAAAAACAAAAAAAAAACGACAGACGAAAACAATTCGGAAAAAAAAAAAACAGACCGAAAAATGACATGAAAAAAAGAAAACATCATACCGTCAGGGAGGTTAAGCAGTAATATCAGCTAGCATAAGATAATGACATGTTGTGCTTGTTATTTGCAGTATTGCTTTAATACATGAGGCCTATGAACTCTAATAAACTTTATATATTTGATATTTTATACATGATCTATGTTATCTCTGCTATATATATATATATTTATATATTCAAGCATGGTGCAGGAAATGCAATAAAATGTGTTCCATCTCTTTAATAGATTATTTAACCACTTGCTGACCGGGGTGTTTACACCCCCTTCCCATCCAGGCCATTTTCCAGTATTCAGCGCTGCGGTACTTTGACTGACATTTATTCCGCCATACAACGCTGTACTGAAATTAATTTTATACAATTTTTTGGGGACAAATAGAGCTTTCTTTTGGTGGTATTTAATCACCACTACAGGTTCTTTTTTTTTACTATATAATAAAAAAAGTACCGAAAATGTGGAAAACAAAATGTTCTCCTTACGTTATGTTATAAAACATTTATTATTACCCAATTTTTTTGGTAAAATATAAAAGACGGGGTCACGCTTTACATATTACAAGCGATCGGGCGTCTGAACGCTTGTATGTAAACAGCCATCGCTGGCTGTTTACTTTGAAAGCTGATTTCCCGTTCGTGCACGCCGCCTAGGCGGGCACGAGCGGGGCGGGATGGGGGCGTTCACCCGCATTCAAGATCCCGCTGTCCGGCCATTTAATTACAACGGCCGGACAGCAGGTGGTTAAAAACATGCAATATTACATAGTTAACAACCCATACCTCAGCCAGTCTCTGGCTCATTCGGACTTTTGTAGCCTTCATCTCCTCAGCTGCCATTGCCACATCTTTCTAAAAGTAAAGGGTGTCGTGAGAATATATTGTAATATGCAAAAATGCTTTGTTCCAAAAAGACATTATAAAATGTTGACAGTAGCTACATAAAAATGTCAGCTTTTCTTTTCTTGTTCAATCTTCCCATTTATTTGTGGCAAAGCATAAACAACATAACCATGGAATTTTATAAGGTGTTAAATAGATGGATTTGTATAGCCTGTCATCCAAATAGGGTTTAACATGTAACTACTTGCCAGAAACAAAGATTAAATGTTAGCATGCATTTTCCACTTTCCAACTGTTGATAAGAACAAGGAAATATCAAGCAGAAACTTACTCAACATGCAAGATCACTCAGAAAATGCAGGAGACAGAGTGATAGCCTTAGAAATTACATAACCTTGAATCTACTGAAAGAATGCATATGACAAATAACTGTGCTCCCTCCATGTCACTCATATGGCCCGTATGATGGAAGAGGGTGATAGGACCATATGTATATGTCAGAAGCTGCCCTACGGGTTTGATTTACTAAAGGCAAATAGGCTGTTCACTTTGCAAAGGAATTTTTCTCTTAGCTTAAGGAATTGGGCAAAAATCTATTTTGCAAAGCATACCCAATCATGTGCAGGGAAAATTGTAAAAACTGATTTTTTCTTGAACATAATTGGATGATGCAAATCAGTAGAGCTTCGCCTCATTCACTAAGCTATGGAAAAATTCCCTTGCAAAGTGAACAGCCTATTTGCCTATAGTAAATCAACCCCTATGACTCAGAAGAGACACAACTATGTTAAAGTAACAACTGGAGTAAAAAACAAGTTTCATGCATACAGTCATGACGGGTCCCGTTGCATAAAGCATTTGGGATATAAACACAGTACCTCTTTTGACAAGCTCATGTTTATGCAACCATAAAGCTACTAATCCAAGTGGCAGATTTTAGTGAAATGTTCTATATTATGAATATTTAAATATGCACCTTTGTGGTTGTTGCAATCTCCAACGCAGCACTTAACCTCTCTTTAGCTTCTGATTCTCTTTCCATGTTCTCGATTGCATTGTTCAACCTTTGGTGCAGTCTCATTTTTTCTAACTGAGCATCTTTCATTTCTGCAGCATGCTCATCTTGCATTTCACGCAGACGCTGTTCTAATTCTCCTAGAAACACAAAAAAGTAAAAGATGTGTACATCAGATACCAGCTAACCTTTAACTGACCTTTAAAGTGACATTAAAGTAAAAAAAAATTCCCTCCCCACCATGTTAATGTTAGCACTTACCTTAAATGATGTCTCTTAATCCGATCTTCTTCTTCTTTCCTGATGTTTTCATCTGTCCCTCCAACGGTGCCGCGGCTATCCGATCCAGCGCTGACTGCTCTTTGCTTGCAGGCACTTCCGATCCAGCGGTGTCTGCATGCGGGTGCACGCGTTCATAGACTTACCTTGCGTCTTTGCTCGTCTCCCTGCCGAGAATCCGAACTGCGCATGCGCCCGCCCCAAGATCCTTTGCGGCTGCACGAGCAGTTCCGGATTCTCGGCATGGGAGCGCGCAGCGATAACAAGGTAAGTTTAAACCGCTGTTGAAGCGGGTTTCAAAAAAAAAACTTTTTGCCTATATCTAATGCTTGCTAGCAGTAGATATAGGCAAAAAAACGGAGGCTTTAGAACCCCTTTAATTTGGCACATCTAATATGCAATTACATTATCAGTCTTTCCCGAAGCGATTAACAAAAATGTGTAGGAATGCCAGTGTTGGTACCAACGTTGTACACAGAAAGTGGCTGAAAAATAATTCCCTTGCATAAAGAAAAGCCAACATTTGATGAATAGTCACAAGTCCATGGAGAGATGGGTGGAACCAGAGTCAGCTGCTATTTTCTTTTTAACTCAAATGCAACCCATGAACAATTAACACCTTGTTACGTTCTCTACACCTACATGGCCACCTACTCAAAGACAATGCTGAAATTGGCACAACATTGGGTTTTGTAAGTCTCCCCTATGGTAAACCCAAGTTTTGGTAGCATTTATTTCATCTTTATTAACCTATACTATTTCTTATAGGAATATGGTCAATATAAATAGTTTGAGGCGTTCTTAGTCTGTCTTTAAACAGGTTCTTTCTTACCAGAATGTTTGGTGTGCAACTCCCGATCTGTATGTAGTCGGAATAAATTAAGTTTGAGTGTCTGCAACATGCTTTCCATGTGACACACGCGGTTGACAAGATTCTCACAATTTCTCCACAGTGTATCACCATCTCCGGTAAATGCTGGCCTTGCTCTTACAGGACTTAATGGACGAAGAAACTCAGCATGATTTTCATACTTAAATTCTTGACTGGTAAGTATAAAAAAAAAATAAGAAAAAACCTTTAGGATACAATAGAAGAAAAAAAAAATCATGTTCTCCCGTATAAGCGTTGATTTACTAAAGGCAAATAGGCCTTTGTAATGGATTGTACTTTGTAATGGAATGGAATTTGTACTTTGCAGGGGACGTTTCCCCTCAGCATCGTTAATGAGGTGATGCTCTTCTAAATTTCATCACCCAATCATGTGCAAGCAAATATATATATTTTTTTAACTTTAACTTGCACATGATTGGGCAGTATACTGAGCTTTGGATCACGGGAGGACGCTAGTTTGTCCTCCCGTGACCCTTAGGAGAACTATGGAGAAAAACACTTACCCCATAGTTCTCCTTTAATTGCCCAGAAAGATGTCTGACACTGGTGATGCGAGTCCTGCTTTCCAGTGAAATGAATACACTCAGAATGGGGTGAGTTTACAGGATGACTTTGGCCTTCACCATCAGCTGCCCTCTAAAAGCGAATGTATAGTTTTTCTTTTTTAGATTTACATGTTTAAGTGATCAGTTTTGTGCATATAGTCTAATTAACCTATGATAATTCAAACACTTTGTTTCTATATACAATGTTTACACTTATTTATGTTCATGGGGGGGGAGCCATTATTGCTTGTTACATAAGAAGGCTCTGCTTTGTGCTTTTCAGTGCTACAATGTGGTTGTAATTTACCGTTCTGTTTTACAATTTAAAGGTGAGTTAAGCCATAGAAAACAACTAATGTTCTGTGTGGCTAATATTTTATCACAACTTTATCACAATGCTGGTGACTAGTCCTTTGTCCTCTATCTGCCCTATTTGTTTACAGCTTTTAGAATTAATTTCTCTCTTTAAGCAGAGGGGTAGAGAGAATGCAATTAAATACAAAGCTCCATCTAATAGCTAATCCACAAATCTCTGTATTTAAAAGGAGCCTGTCAGGAGATAAACGTGGAGGCAGCCATTGCTGACCTCTCCTTCTAAATATGCTTGTTAGCTGGTTGTTACACTGATCATCTTGCGTCAATATAAGTTTGAGTTGCTGACCCCATACAAACATGTAGATAAGGACTTCTGACTTTTATGATCTGCAAACCTGTTCAGAATCAGTGATTTGGAAACTACTGAAGCCAGTGAATAAGGATAACAGCCAGGCAACTATCACTTCCAGGAAGTCAGTTGCCCTATTTCCCTTACAAGAGGTTTACTTTAATACAATAAGAAAGCTGTAAAGAAGCAAGCATGTAAACATCTAAAAGTCACATAAAAGAAACACTTTTTCAAAAACACTGCAATAATAGTTCAAAGCACTGCAATAATAAACGCTGCAATAATAGTTCAAAGCACTGCAATAATAGTTCAAAGCACTGCAATAATAAACACTGCAATAATAGTTCAAAGCACTGCAATAAAAGTTCAAACCACTGCAATAATAATTAAAAAATGAACTTATATGGCACAAGTAAAAACATACCCACAATTGTTAATGTTATCTAGAATTATTATTGACATTACAATGTGGTCACTGCTTTGTATATTGTACTTTAATCAAAATTCCCAACCAACTACCATTCCCTGTCCTAGGCATCCTCCATGCCTATATTTACATTTGCTCTAATCACCACCAACCACTCTTTGAACCCCACTACTTTCTGGTATGGGGAAGCATGTGGCATGAGACTTGCTTTCACAGAATAAAGCATATGGGGCCTGAGTGGACAATCGCTGGGGGCAGAGGGTGTGTCATTTACTGTGACTGCCAGTGACATTGAAGGATAAAACAGAAGAGATCAGATTGGTGAGAAGCAGCAGTAAAGGTAAATAAAGATACCAGAGTTTGTCTGAGACATCGAAATTTTGTGCTGAGAAGTTTACTTTTCTTGGTTGCGTATACAGCATGGAAGGTTCAATCCTCTATGGTATAAGTGCTTTACTATGCCAGATAAGTGTGAAATTACCCAGCATGCCCACCCTTTTCTTACACTGTGGTTAGAGTTTTCCTTGGACATATTAAATAACAAATGGTGTTTTTAATCATGTATAATATTTATAAATATATATCATTTTGAAAATATTTGGACTGCTCCTACTTCTGGCTGTTAACACCCAGTGCTCTCAAGTCAGAGATCAAAGACTCTGTTTGTTCCTCGGCCATACGCATCCGCTGTTCAAGAACAGAGAAGGTCTCAGGAGCTGTAGGACGAATACTAAAAGGGGTGATCACTGGTCGTGCCATCTTCTGTCAAAGACATAAAACAGGTAATTATACAATTATTCTCCTTTTCAATTTGTCATGTTTGTTTCATTTGTATAATGTTTCTTACAATATTTATAGTAACAAAAACACAAATAAAGAAGAGGAGCTCCTACGTTTAGGCCGTGGCATGCTCTGGGGCTTATTAAAGGTACACTGGATGAAATATGGTAGGCTGAACCTCCCAATGGCTTCTTATAGCTCTAGTTACAGAACTTTCCTGAAAGCAGATCTTCCCATTGCTGGTGCTGGAGTTGACCGTCTTTGGCCTTGTACAGATAATCTGTACATCCGTTTGACACACTTTTGAGATCATTCAGAATTCATAGGTAGGTACATTTGATCTGCAGTTTACCTGCTACAAGTAGGTTTTGCATCCCCATAGACTTGCATAGCAAAGCCACTCTGACACAGACCCTTAAAGCCATAGTTTATTTATCTTTGGGTATGCAGCACCAGGGGCATGAAGTGTGTCATATGTCCTGCAGGCTGGTGCTTAGTGTGAAAATCTTCCTTTCATTGATGCCGGATACTCCCCACAGCACTGATCTTCCCGGCGCCGCAGGGGGATAAGATCAGCGGCTGCAAGAGTGAAGCATTGGCCCGTCCTATCCTACCTCCTCTTTCCCCTATTCACAGAATTCATAGTATTCTTCCCAAAATGCAAAGCGTTCTGTGATTGAAGGAGGCGGATCCTGTCATCCCATCCTCCATTCACAGAACACCTTGCAGTCACAACCACTGATCTATGTCCCGGTTCTAACTTGCCTCGCGTGTGAATACGCACCAAAGCATGCACATTGGCACGTGTTCACACAACGCGGCATAGGCCAGCGTTGTGTGAACAGCCAGCAGCCAGCAGGACATAGGACACACTTCATTAGAGGTGAAGTTATGTCTCTGGTGCTGCATACCCTAAAAATACATGTAAAGCCCAACTCCAGGGAAATGAAACGTGCTTCCGCACTGCAAGGGTTAAATGTGTGTTGATGCTTAGGGGACAGGAAAAAGCTGATTTACTTACCTGATCCATCTCCACTTTAAAGTATAACTAAAGCCAAATATTTTCTTTTCATTTTGGATGGTGTAGGGCAGGGGTGCCCATAAGGTCGATCGCGATCTACCAGTCGCTCGCAAAGCTAATGCTGGTAGATCGCGGGTCGACTCTCTGTCCTGATCTCACTCCTACTCTGCTAGTGCGGCCGAATGTGTCAGACGCTGAATCATCCGACACATTTGGCCCGCCCCTCCGTGCCTGCAGTGTCCAATAAATTCTGCCCAGAGACATTTGGCCCGCCCCACCCAACCCGCAGCATTGGTCACATTAGGACCGCCCCTGCCAGCCCGCAGTGTCAGAGACATTCGGCCTGCCCCTTCCAGCCCGCAGCATTGGACACAATAGGACCGCCCCTCCTTGCCCGCACTGTCAGAGACATTTGGCCCGTCCCTTCCAGCCCGCAAGCATTTGACACATTGGGACTGCTCCCCCCAGCCCTTAATGTCAGAGACATTTGGCCCACCCCTTCCAGCCTACAGCATTGGACAAATTGGGACCGCCCCTCCCATCCCGCAGCATTGGCCACATTGGGACTGCCCCTCCCTGCCTGCGATGTCGGACACATTGGGACTGCCCCTCCTAGCCTGCAGTGTCGGACACATTGGGACCACCCCTCCTAGCCTGCAGGATCGGACACATTAGGACTGCCCCTCCCAGCCTGCAGTGTCGGACACATTGGGACTGCCCCTCCCAGCCTGCAGTGTCGGACACATTGGGACCGCCCCTCCTAGCCTGCAGGGTCGGACACATTAGGACTGCCCCTCCCAGCCTGCAGTGTCGGACACATTGGGACTGCCCCTCCCTGCCTGCGATGTCGGACACATTGGGACTGCCCCTCCCAGCCTGCAGGGTCGGACACATTAGGACTGCCCCTCCCAGCCTGCAGTGTCGGACACATTAGGACTGCCCCTCCCTGCCTGCGATGTCGGACACATTGGGACTGCCCCTCCTAGCCTGCAGGGTCGGACACATTGGGACTGCCCCTCCCTGCCTGCGATGTCGGACACATTGGGACTGCCCCTCCTAGCCTGCAGGGTCGGACACATTGGGACTGCCCCTCCCTGCCTGCGATGTCGGACACATTGGGACTGCCCCTCCTAGCCTGCAGGGTCGGACACATTGGGACTGCCCCTCCCTCCCTGCGGTGTCGGACACACCAGCGTGCCTGTAGAGCCGGGAGAGCCAGGAAGCAGGTAGTTAGTACTGGCAACCTAAGCTATAATCCAGGCATGCACACACATGCAGTTTTTTATGTGTCTGACTAATCCAACTTTCCCGGTCACCATGGGGGAAGAATGATTGGCTGTGTAGTATGTTATATCAACCCCCCTTAAGGGCTTGTTCACACCAATTACAGTGTGTTCCAGCACGGTTAGCTGTTGGCACGCACTGTATCGCATACTAAACTCCCCCTGCGTTCTGGGATGAGAGGGGGCCGGTCCAGTGCGATCGCAAAAAATGCTGCATGCACGATTTTGTGTGATCCCACTGGACCGGAATGCAGGCATTGTTGTGCCACGTGTTCTAGTGCAGGCGATTCCACTGCGGACGAGAGGGGGAGGGTGGCTGCAGGGCCATTGACTTGAATGCACCACCACACCTCCTCCCGCCCCAGAACGCAAGGGGGTAATTTAGTATGCGATATAGTGCGTTCCAGTGGAACGCACTGTAATTGGTGTAAACAAGCCCTTACAGTGACTACTATATTATGATTCTAAATACCTGAGTCCCAGGAAGCATTTATTGTACCCATGTTATATTCCACATTTTAGGCCTGAAAATTACTTAAAACCCCCCAACATTATATATTTTCTGAATGCCAAGACCCTATAGAATAAAATGGTGGTAGTTGCAAATTTTTATGTTGCGCAATTCCTTATTAAACCCCAAAATTTAGTGACAAATTTAATTAAATGCCCCAAAACACAACAAATTACCCATTTTTTTAATGAAATATAAAAGATGAGGTTACAACGAGTAAAACGATACCCAACATGCATAGGTTACAAATTGCGTGCGACTGTGAAACGGCGAAAAACTGCAGTACCCCAAAAAGTCAATAAAAGACGCTTTAAAAGCCCCCACAGGTCATCAATTTAGAGATACCCCAAAATACTGGCCCTAGAATTATTGCTCTCACTCCGGCGTGCGCGGCGATACCCAACATGTGTAGCGCGTTCGTCGTTTTCATGCGTAGGCGCACCCGACGCGTGTTTACGTGGCACATTGGGGATATCTCCCTTCACTTCCTGTTCTGTAGACACAACAGGAATTGAGGGGATATCTCTCCAAAGTTAAAGAAATGTCCTCTTAGAGCCCATCCCCACCCAATGCATTGGATGCATTTAACTAAAAAAATATACTGGTTTTCGATGGTGTCGTTTACATCAGGGCATTGCATTGCGTTGCATTTTGGAAAAAATAGAGCAGGCTGCATTTTAACACAACGAATGTAAACACATGCAAATGCGTGTAAACACATCTCTTTTAATAGTAAGAGTGATGGTAAAACACATGTAAACATGTATGTTTTACATGTGGTTTTGGTGTATACAAGTATACACAAGGCCACCAAGGCCACACCAAAATTGCAGAAAACATGTAAACGTGTTTACATGCTTTATTTAGGCGGTGCCATCACTCTTACACTTTTAGCATGCGTTGACAGAAACGCTGAAAAACGCAAAATCCCATTAATTTCTAATGGCACCCTAAACCCTACGCATTTGCACGCAGACAAATGCATAACGCGTGTTGCAAAATCTGCTGCATGAGCTGTTTTGCTGAGTTTGTGGTGTGTTCAGGCCCTATTGAACTCAAAGGGGACACGCTGCAAATTCAGCACACGAACGCGCACGAACGCACATACGCCCGTGCAAATTTGAGGCACATTCATGGAACACGCAGGTGTGAATGCGGAGTAATTCCTCAAGTAAACATTCTGGCTTTAGATACACTTTTAAGTGAGCACTCATATTGTAAAAGCACATACATAGCACACCAGCTTTAATACGAGTAAAGTTAGCATTCATGTTCTCATCCACTGACCTGAAAAAAGGACGGTTCTACCTTCCAGATACGTGAATGCGGGTCACTTGCCTTTCCTCAGCTCCCCTCCACCATGCTGCCTCAGTGCTGTTACCATGGAGACGAGCTCCAGATTGTCCCTTCAAACCGCCCGCTGCTCTTTGTGTGTACTGCGCATACTCCAACACTGGGAGCGGCGGGAGGTCACGTGACATCCCCCTGTGTCTGCTGAGTAGCTCAATGTCCGAGTCACCGCATAGTTTAAAACATGGCTGACAGAATTTGTGGAGTAGCTGGTCATACAGCACTAGGAGCCATGCTGTGATTTCCTTATTGTAGAGGCGAGGCCACCAGAGGGCGCTGGGCTGAGGAAACGTTCAGAAGAGGAGGGGGGCTATGAGGGCTGTGAAGGCTGACAGGGTGTGATACACAGGCACTAAGATGCTATTAATGTTTTCAAACACTTTTCACCTGAGATTCTACTAAAAAAAAAAAATAGGTGAATCTTGGGTGAGCCTATTAATAGACAGACCTTGTTTTTTTCCATGTACATGTAGTTTGAATTAATTACTCCATCCATGGTAGGGTTGCCACCTTTTCTTCATGGAAAACCTGAACACTCTAGCGATGCGCAGAATGAGTTGTGGCTTATTCATATGTAAATAGTGCCACCCATTCATATGTAAATATCATATGTGAGACTATTTTTAGTGGGGGGCAAGTAGCCCCTATCTTAATTTTGGTTGCCGCGGTCTGCCTGACATCTTGTGTCTGGATTTCTTCTGCCATAAAACCCAGACACAGCATTCAAACCCCGGACTGTCCAGGTGAATCCTAATCCATGGTATAGCAGAGACAAGTTTCTGTCACCATGGTAATTGTCTCATAAAGTTGCTGCAGT